AAAGTGCCTGGTGCATTTTGTCACTCAACATGGCCAAGATCCACTTGGTTGTTTTACTGACGTGCAGAATAACTAATCACAGACCGCTGTTTTAGGGGCAGGTGATTCTTCAAAACGGGGCTGCAGCCATAAAATCCCACGCTCAACAAATGTGTCGGCAAACTCAAGTATCAGAAATCAGCGCAGTCCTGATAGCTGTGGGCAGCTTAACGTGCAATAGATATCAGACTCTCAGTGGGTGGAGCATCTGAACCTGAGACTAAGGGCAATATGTCTTCTCTTGTTTTACTGCATCATAGAAGAAATAGTCACTTGTCACACAGATGGAACTTTGAATGATGGTAGAAAAGACAGTCAAAATGACAGTTTCTGTCATGGACTGTATTGCAGCCCTTATAAATTGCACTGGAATGCACAAACCTTTCATTCTGTTTCTCATAGACTGGTATTTTGTTTAATGGGTGGAGAGCACATGGGTGTCGTTGTGTGTAGGCAGCTCTGCCCTGTAAAAGCACCCTCTGCTCGGCTGGCCCTGCAGCCCTGCGTTCCCAGCCTGGCCTGTAAAAGCCCGGCTTTGCAGCTGTGCCTGGCCCAGCCTCCAGAGAGCACTAACCTCTCCTGCACTCTCACTGGACTTAGCTTGGCTGTTCTGTAATTACTGCTCACTCTTCTTCCCCTGCTCCCTCTCCCTCCCTCTCTTCCTCCCCCATGTGCTCATACTGTCCTCCTCTTCACCCTTTCCTTTGCTACTGTGTTGCTCCCTTTCTCTCTTTCCTTCCTTCCTTACCATTAGGCTTTGTAGTATGGTGAGGTGACATGATGGTTATAGTAATACATTTTATAGTGGTATGTGCTTTCTGAGCTTATCACGGGTATCGTCAGCATTTCTAGAACACTGGCTATTTGCATTCTTCCCAAAAACAAAAGAGATTTAGAGCAGCTGAGAGGATAAACATCCCATGTCAACTTAAAAGTAGACTTAAAAACTGATATATTAGTTCCCCAAGTACCTTAAATATTTTTTAAAGGTACACTCTAGTAACGTTCCCAGGCAAAAAGGCTGTTAGTGCTTTCATATTGTACATTATTTAATATAAAATGCAATATGGTACATTTGTTTCCTAAGGAAATGTACTGAAGACATGCCCTCGAGAGTAGCACCCCAGTGATAGCAGTTATTTAGTGTCGGCTCATTTTTAACCACTATCACTATATAAATCAATCACTGCATTAAACATGGACAAGCCTTCTTTTATTGTTGGATGCCCTTTGGTTTTTCTTGTGCAAGTACTTAAACTCATTCAGAGTGCAGTATTGATCAGTAAACACTTATTATTGATATCTTTAGGCAGAGTAATGATAAAGCGTGACTGATTCCTATTCGTGTTTTCTTGCTCAAAATGGTATTTTGACAAACAGAATACAAATTTCAGATTTTGAATCGTGTGTTTTCATTTCAGCTGCAACGTTGAGAAATTGTTATTTAAGATGCAGAAGTAGACAAAACGGCAGAAGTAGCCACTTGTATATTGTAAAAGTGCCTTCAAGAATTGCAGCGGTTCATTTTTGCAATATCGCTCACCCCTGGTCGTGTGTGTGTGTGTGGGAGTAAAAAGAGAGGGGAGGGCAGATGGGATAAGTGTGTGAGATTGGGTTGAGGGGGATTATTCTTCTCTGGCACCACTGTGTGACTCCCAGGTTTGAAGCTCAATGCTCAGACAAAGAGGGCAGCACGGCCATTAGAGTGAGGGAGTGAATGTGCAGGAGGGTTGGAGGGGGTGCAACCTGTGTCCCTGTGCCCAAAACCCCTTCAACTCCTCTTAGGAATGCCTCCACTCTGTAACACCCCACCCTCCCAGCCCCCCCAGGCACCACCAGGGCTCAAACGCCTGCCATTGTGCCCTTGCCGAATGTATGAAGCTCAGATTTATTTCCTGCAGTGAATGGGGCTACTGAGGCAGATTTGGGCGCAGACTGGTCTGGCTGCGTCCTGTAAAAGTGGCTAAAAAGGCTCCTTTTTAGCGGAGGCCAAGACCAAACCTTGGGTTTGTAAGGTAGCCTTAAATCAGCTCTGCATGCTCGGCGGAGAGTGTGTTGACGAGGGTGCAGAGAGCCCACTGCGCCGGGAGAAAGAGCCGCAGCAGCTCGTGCAGTTTGGAATGTCACTAATCAATTCAGCTTTGTAATTGTAATGGGCTGCTCGCTGCTGCTTCCATTCTCCTTCCTGTCTGGCTGAGAGTGCTTATCTTGATAATTTGATTCTGCACAGTGATCTGCTCTGTGTGCAACATGAAAGCATAATTAGGGTTTAATAATGAAACAGTCATTTCCAGTGGAAGACGGGCTAAAAGAAAGGTCACAGGTTTCAGCTTCGTTTAGTTTCGTGTGGTGTGCGTGTGGTTTTTTTTTTTTGCTCTGCACATGTTTGCATATTGTTACTGTTGTATCAACTTATGACTCCTTTTTTTCCCTAAAATTCTTGGTCATAGCACACACTGGGCTGAAAATGTAAAAAAACAAAAAAAAAGGTGGCAGTAATTGAAGAGTTTCATTCTAAAATGCTGTTTATCCATTTGTGACATTTTTGCATCGAATGAGTTTTTGATAAACACATTTTTATTTCTCTAATAAACGTGGTATTAATCATAACGTAGCATTGATATTTCTTGTATGTGTAAAGCCCACCCTCAACAACAGATATCAATGAGGAAAATCTTCTTGATAGAGGTTTATAATGCATTTTGCAACAAAGCCCTTCAAATGAGAAGTTTACATGAAGAAACTTACTAAAATTAGTATGTAGACTACAGCATATACCCATGAAATCCAACATTCTTTACAACAGGGAACGATGCGTCATCCAAAGCAATGAAAGATATTTTTTTTGTTATGCTTTGCACTTTGGCTGTCATTTGTGTGTGTATGGTTTGGTTTTTTTTTAATCTTTTCGAAAGCTTGGTAGAGATGCTGTTAGCATGCTAGGGGGAAGCTTTCTTTTCTGCTTGTGTTCTTGTGTTTTCTGTGTATGAAGTCTTCTTTTGCTATCAAACCTATAGTGGAGAGGTTTTTGGGTGTTGTTCCTCCTGTTCATATTTCACACGAAAATTGATTACAAATCGCTGTGAAATTGTTCCACATGGCTAATATTTTTACTCTTTATCTGCTGCTGCTCAGACTGTTTGAATGCATTTGTGATGATCGGTGCAGCAGTTGTTAAGTGTTAGATTTTGACGCTTCACTGTAGGTCTGTTTTATCCTTATATTCAGTCAAAATAGCCTTTTTTGACCATTTTCAATAGATGAAATTTCAGTGCATCCTTTGGTTTCCGTTATTTATTTTACATGGATCATTTCCTCACAAATTCTAAATTACTTGGAATAAAATCTCCTACACAGTAATCCTATCTGCGATACAAGATTGTGTTACGACAGCATTCGTACCTGTATTAACCAGCACAATCGCGACTTTAGTTCCTCAGCTTGTTATGATACTCTGCCTGTAACTGAAAGAGGAAGAGCCTCCTTTTGCTATAAACCTGGGCTTTATCAGTGCTGAAATATCTCTGAACTGGGCTAGGCTGTTCACGAGAAAGCTCAACCCTAAGTTCCTGCGAGCACTGGGTGTCTCCATATCTGCAATGTAACAAGCCCTGGCAGCACCTTTGATCACACAAAGAAATGGCCCAGACTAATAGAGAGCAGGCTTTAATCTCGTCTGAATGGGCTGTTTCACCCTCACAAATAGGAATTAAAAACATGGCACTGTAGCTCTTTCCTGACTCTACTTCCTTTAAACAGTTTTTTTTTTCCACCAGTTTATTGCATTTTTTTCAGTAGTTTGAAAGCCGCTTTAGCTTCCACTAAAAAAGCCTAGCTGTGTCCGCTGTGTTATCTTGTATACATAGGTTATTTGAGCTAAATACAGTGTTGCACAGGACTTTGTAGCTTTTCTGCTCAGCGCAGGCCCAGGTGGTGGAAATATACTGTTACACACACGCAGTTTAACACTCCTTCCACTGAACCCCATGAAAGGTAGCAGAGGCCTTAGAATTTCTCAACAATGAGCTCACTCTGCTCTCTGCTGTGGCTACAGCGGACGCAAACCCGCCTGTGCTGAGTGAGGCGGCCTGAAAGAAAAAAGAAAACAGGCTTTTGGCTCTCTGATCCACCCAGGATGTTTTTTCCAGTAGGCTGGCACGATGGCACGCTCAGCTTTTTGCGGCCGATGTGGTAATCTATAGTCACGTTAAAGATGGCTGTGATTTCTGGCCGCTGCTCCGGAGGCCCCCGTCGCCCGCCTTCTGCTGAGCTGCGGCTTCTTTAATGTTCTATTAAACCGTTTGAATGGTCAGTTGGGTTTGTGTGAAGGGATAATAAATATTTCATGTCAGGGAATAAAAACAGTGTTTTTACCCTTTTCTTCCCTCATCCTGGCTCTTGCTTGGAAAGCATATCGCCTCTGGGAGGTCTCTGTGACTCAGTGCTGCCACTTGCTGGTGCGTTCGGGGAACTTCAGGGGGTGGCACTGCGTGCAGTCCCTCAAACGGACAGCGGGTGGCGGGGTTCAAAGTGCAGCAGAGAGAAAAGGAAGCTGTGTGTGACGTGCTTGGCCGGATAGAGCTGGATTTATTCTTTACAGATGTGTGTCTGGAGTTGTATTTAGGAGTTAATCTGTCATACACTTGGAATGGCGAGTGCATTTCAGCCTTAAAGCACCTCCCTTCTCAGTGCCCAGATTTCTTTCCTCCTCATCTCCTCGTCCAAAAACACAAATGTCTTTCTGTTTACTTTATTAAAGAATTAAATGCTTTCAATCCCTTTTTAATTGACTTGGTTCCATTCAGGGCTCTTGGCACAGAATAAGAGAATCATAAAGGCACATGCAGCACAGGCCTGCGTTTGCCAAGTGGCCAATTTGTGACGCTGTTAACAAACAAATTAACAAAAAAAACAAAAAAAAGATGCTTACTTTTTTCCCCTCCTCCTTTTCTTTTTTCTAGAGTAAACGGGACCATCTGTTAATGAGTGTGAAATGGTACTACCGCCAGTCCGAGGTACCTGACTCTGTCTACCAGCACCTAGTACAGGACCGCAACAATGAGAACGGTATGTATTCGTGTTTTTCTTTTTTCCTGTGCAGATAACCTAATGCATGTAAAACATGAACTAAGTGCCAGAGCAAATAACTCGTAAAATGTGAACTAAGTGCCACGCTCTACCGTTTTATTTCGCCATGCCAAGCGATGTGTAAGACATCCAGGTGAATGGCATCTCAAATAATAGAGGAGGCGTTCGCAAAAACGCTTCTCCGCCCTTGTTTCCCTGGTAACGCTCCTTCAAACAAGACAGCGGGACTGTGAAGTGCAAATAACTTTGAGCATCCTGTGCCTTGCGATCTCCTGGTCACCTGGCACATCAGCCGCGAATCTGGAGCTGGTGCCTACAACAAGCAGTAATAACAGACTCGGGGTTCTGCCTGGCTCTGCGTTGGGGCGGCTTTTGATTTGCAGCACGCTCTAATAAAACAGCCAGGCGTTCCGCGTTCCTGCCAGCCTGGCAGACACAGACTCTCCTCCCTCTGCGGTTTTCAGTCTGACGTGGCAGCCATTGCCACTTGAAGATATCACTGCAGGTTAACAAACACTCACCAAGTACAGTCATTATGGATTTGCGCCTGCAAACACTGTTTTTCGATGTAGCCTTTTCAGGAAGAAATTATAACATTTCCAGAGGAAATGTAATAAGCCTTTTGTCTGATGGCTGTTCAAGCCTTGTATTAGACTCAGGCATTGATCTCTTTATTGGAGTATATGTCACAGTGCAGCAGCTCCAGCTGCATTTCTGCTCCTATATCCACTGATGTTTATGGGAATCACAGGCGTCATTTAAAACCCCATTTTTCTTGTTATAATATGCTGTCTGTGCTTTACATAGTGTATGGAAGCTAACCAGCCTTTCTTTCATGCATAATCTAGTGCGATTAGTTCAGCCTCATGTTACCTGTGTGTTTTATGCTTATAGAAGAGTGTGTCTGCTTAGATCATTATTCTGTGTTAGTCCTGTACTCCTGACATGCACACTATTTTCTAGTTCCAGACTATGATTCTGTAAACGTTCTGTAGAATCAAGGCTTCATGTTCTTGTCAAAGTCATGCTGAATTATGTGAGGTGTTCATAGGTGACCTTACTGCTGTGTGGTCTGGGGATTGGCCTATATATTTTATCTTTTTTTTTTTTCAAGAATTGAAATCAACATTTTAAGATTTTATTCTTGCTTTTTGTTCTTGCTGATAAAAAGACATTTACATGATGAATGTGCATTTGTTTGCAACAAATAATATTGCAGACACAGGGAAACAGAGTGAAGACTTAAACCAATTATCATTGCAAAAGACATAATAGTAATAATAAAGAGAAACATTAGATATAAATGCTACAGGTGCTTATTGCACTTCATATCTTGAATCAGAGCCAGAGTCTTGTGATCTTAAATTTGTTTGTGTTTGATAATTGGGATTCTATGTGTGTAATTACAAATTTTCCATTTGGACTGTTTTTAAAGAGCTATGTACATGTTTATTTTTAGCTATTTAAAGTTAAAAAAAAGTTTTCCCAGTATTTCAGTTGTCTCGTTTAGCTTTAATTGTAAATTGTATATTTCAGTAAGATGTTTATTTAATTGCATTTTTCATTTTGTTATTTTAAGGAGAGCTGAATATTATTTTTATGTTTTAAGTTTCCTTTTAAATTTCTCCTGTATTCTTTCCTAACATTTCATGTGTTTTTAAGCTCTAAATTGAAATGTTTTTATTGTTAGCATTTCATTGAACACTTCCATTAATGTTTGTTTGTGTGTAAGATTTGTCTTTATGCAAATTGCCACACTTTAAACTTCAAATTTATGACAAATGAATATCAGCCCCATCTATTGATTATCAGCTTCGTTGTTTGGAGCAATCGTTATCTGTATCGGCCCTGAAAAACACATTGATCAACCATAAATATAATCAGCTTGAAACATCAAAGGCTTAATTTAATTAAATTTTTTATAAACATTTTTCAGAGTTAAATGCTGAGACAGTGTAATGGTTTTTGTTTGCTTTCAGACTAAAAAACCTTTTTGCAGCAATACATTTATTTGAGTGACTTTTCTGTTTGTCTTTCCTTTTCTTTCTGGTCTTGATTGCAGTATCTGAAAATATTAATGAGCACTGGTTTGACTCTCTCTGATGCGCTCTTTCTTTCTGTCTCTGTAGACTCTGGTCGGGAGCTAGTCATTACTGACCCTGTGGTAAAAAGCAGAGAGCTCTTCATCTCGGACTATGTGGACACCTACCATACTGCGGCCCTCAGGTAATGCACCTGCTGAATAATTACGCCCGGTGATGAGTCATGTCTGCTTTTGCCTGTAGCAGTGCAGTCATGCTTAGTAGTGCCTAGAGCATTTCAATTAATAAAATTGGATTGGAGTCTTTCAGTGTACTTTTTAAAAAAAAAAATGATTAAGCATGCAAACCATAGCTGAAAGCTATCACGCTTTCCTTCTCCATGGTGAAGAAAAGCAGAACAGGCATGCTTCTTTTTGGTATTTCAAACAAAAAATGCTCTTGATTTCCCATATTTGATTCATTTTTCCCCTGCTTTCTTTCCCCTACACTCTTCCTTTCCACTCCCTTAACTCGAACCATCTGGAGGCAGTATAGAGAAGCACACACAAAGCCACAGCTCTGAACCACTGATTTCAGGGCAAATTAGCTGCAACTTCTGCTGCACAGAGGGCCCTTTGATTTGACTTATTACAGGGCTTTCGATAAACTCCATGAATTCCGGGAGCATGGTGTAATGCCTGCTTTGAGCCCATCGTTCCTTTCATCTTCTGAGAAAGGTATTGTGTCTACACTGGGCGCCCAAAACCACAGCAATGCCTATTATTTTGATAGGCCCAGACTGGAAACATAAAGCACAGAATGTGAGCCGATGTCAAGATGCGGTTTGTAGGAGACGCTTGCTCTGGTTAGCTCTTCAAAGCACGCGTGTGTGGGTGGGCGGGTCCTGTGTGGTATCTGTTGCCACTTGTTCAACTGTCAGGATGAAAAGATTCAAAGGTACAGTGTCTATAACAATGGCTGTGAATGGGGAGCACTCTGTTCCTCAGTCGCTGCAGCTTAGCCTGCCACAAACACAGGGAAGGATGTTTGTTCAGCGCTGAGTGATCACTCATAGTTTGTCCGCCCAAATGTGATTGCTTCAAGGCATGCTTAATGTAGTAACAGTGATGTGTGTACGTTTAGATGACTAATTTGTGTTTGCCTGTTTTTGTTTTGCAGGGGGAAATGCAACATAGCCCACTTCTCTGACATTTTCGCTGCCAGGGAGTTCAAACCACGAATCGACTCCTTTTTCTACATTTTAGGATATAACCCAGAGACTAGGTAAGCCAGAGCTGTCCGATCATATGCCGTTATGAGCGCTGATGTGCCTCTATGACTGCGTGTACTGTTTTGTATTGGATTCATAATTAGGAATTAGTGATATCTAAGCAGGTTTCACACAGCCCACTCTGTCATAGTTATGCTCAAACTGCAAAATAAGCACTGTTAATTTTTCCACTTTGCTTTTGATAGCAAATGGTTGGATTTGCTCAGTTTTATATTGAATCCTAAAGCAGTTTGTGACGTTTGTGGTATGATGTGTTGAAAAGAGGCCTGTGTGGTGCTTTTATTCTTGTTATAATGATAATACACTTCTAAAGAGTACAAATAATAAAGCTATTCGCATTCTATAAATTAGTAGCATGGACGGTCTGTTTCATACCTTCTATTTGAACTACACTGGGTGCAATTAACATTGCCTGTCAATCCATTAAAAGCTCCCTGTTGTCTCACTTTCCTGCTGAAGATTAAATTGGCTTTCTGTAGAGTTTTTGGCCAATAAATTCTGTAACTGAAAAATGTATTGCAGCTTCCATGGAATCCAACACATTAAACTGTCACAGTTTAAATTATGGCTGGTTACTGTTTAAATATTAGCTAAACAAGGCAGGATAACTGGTTCACTTCACATGAAGGATGCAAAGGAAAGCTCTCTTTTCTGGCTTAACAGCATGTGTTTGTGACTGTTCAGTGTTGTAACACGCTAGAGAAACTGGTCTTTAAGCATTTTCATAATAAAACAGTAGTAGCGAACCTTCAGTAATGTAGAGCGTAATAAACTACCAGCTCTTGGATTAAGCTTCAATAAATGTTGCTTCACTCAGTGATAATACAGATGGTTTTTGTTTTATAGATTGGTTGTGGGCTGTCGTCATTGCAAATTTTAGCATATTTACTCTATTTTCCATAGTTCTTTTATTAAGTGAATGTTCTGTAATGGTGTGAACACTAACAGTGATGTTACAGGTTTACTTACATCTTTAGTTGTCAATGAATGATCAGTTTCTTTTTGAGTTTTGTGCCTAGCTTTGTGTTTAGCATTTGATTTATGGGCTTTCACTGATGGTTGGTGGTGGGGGGATGTCAAAACAAAGTCAAGTTAATCTTGTCAAGAGTGAAAGGGATTGTGATGGTTTGAGTTTTTAACAGAATGGCTTACAAACTATGTCTTTAAGAAGTGGACTGTGTAATCTTATCATTCTAAAATTAGTACGGTGCACCCGCGAAAACCTGACATTTTGTTGTTGTGCTTGAGGTTCATGCATTAATGCATCTGTTTAATCTCTGAGTACTTGAGAAGCAATAAGCTGTGCTTGTTGAGCTTAATTGCTTTGTAATGTCTTATTTGTGATAGAGGCTGTAATCTACTCATTGATTGTTGACTGTGATAAGGAGCAAAGACCTTCAGACTTGGAGGTTTCTTACCTTCTTTATTATTAAATCAATGTGACATAAGTATCCAAACACTGACATAATCCTGTTGGTATTGTGGTTTACAGTTGACTAAATTAAACATGCTTTTGACGGTCAATTGCATTCAGTATTAACTAGTTTAAATGTTTGTAAGACTTCGTTAAGGGGTTTTGATTGCTTAGCTTAGATCCTCAGACATGCCCCAGCATGAAAAAAAGTTGAAAATGCGCTGTTTAAATGCTGCTGCTGCAACACCTCTAGCAAAATCGTAAAATAAGTTAGAACGTAATAATGCATGACTCCTCCTCCTACATAGCAATTTGCCTCTTATTTCTAATATTGCACTTTGATTTCAGTAGGCGACTCAATTTTGTGAAATGCCAGTTATGTTAACCCTCAGTGCACAGTGTAAGCTTTAGGTATTTATCTCTCTCTCTCCCTCTCTCTCTCTCTCTCTCTCTCTCTCTCTCTCTCTCTCTCTCTCTCTCTCTCTCTCTCACACACTCACACACTCACTCACACACACTCACACACACACACTCAATGCGCTTCTAGTTCTATTACTCATGTTTCATTTCAAGTTTATTTAAATAGTTTTTGTTTATTTTAAAAGCAGCTTCTGTGTGAATTTTTAAGTTATGCTTTCATTTAACGATTAAAGTTTCAGAGACTATCAAACAATATATTATCACGTTTGGGTAGAATACTTCGAAAAGGTAGTAATGGCTGAGTACTGAATACACTCTCCTAAAGGCATTCAGTAATGTATTCTTTTACACGAGTAAAACAGTAACATTCAGAATACATTTAGAATTAATGTACAGTATATATTGGTGAGGCAGATGAGATTTTTTTTTAACTCAATACATATTGTTCCTCGCTATTACTGGTTGATAGTTTTCTTCATGTAATTATTCTGTTATGTTTTATGAAAAATTCCTTATCATTTAAAGAAACAAATCCTTTTTTTCCTCTCTCCCCACCTGCTTCAGTTTACTGCTGCTCCCACTATCCCTGAGCAGAAGTCCAGTACATCATCAATGCTAAACTTATCACTTGCACAATGTCCACTATTGGGAAGTTTATTAGTTTGATATTCCTTTAAAAGAGCTCAGTAACACTGAGGTTAATAACTAGCTTATCCCATTGATTTATCAGTCTACTCAGGCTTTAGCAGAAACGTCAGTGCTTGTAAAGAGGTTGTTAATTGAGGTCCTCTTTTGAATTCATCTAACAAGCATGTTTAATGCATGTTGTGCACTGATTCTAAAATTGTTAATAAACACGCATTGACCTTTTTTTGAATGTTCATTGTTTTTAAATTATTTAGTCGATAAGTATTTTAAGTGTTCTTCTAAAATGTAAAAAGTAGCTGTTCTGAATGCTGCCTTTATAAAATGTAACTTGTATTCCATCACATCCCTACGCTGTGTATTATGTATTGATTAAGCTTATAATTCATACTCTTGCGGTTATTTTTTTATTTTTTATTTTATTTGCTGAACTAATTGCACTAGCTGATAGTCAGTTATTTTCCAGGTAGGCCAAATAGTTGTGATCGTTACTGTTGAGCACTGATATTAATAATTATAATTATTGGTGAGAAAATGTTCAGGGACCCAGTAAAAATTGATTAAAAGTTTGCCAAATATGTTAAATAACTTGGTGACACAAAAAATGTGAAATTACTTTCAAGTATTATTTCCTAAAAACACTGAGTAAAAACATCGAGCAAACACTGCTTTATAAAGATATGGAGCATCAGCAATATATCAACAAACTTTCATTCACGCTTCTGAAATGCTGCTCTTGTAGTTCTGAAGCTTGAAGTGAGGATTAAAATTCCTTTGCCTGAGTTCTGCAAGGAAAGATTAGCTTTTGTTGTGTCTGTATTTTTTTTATGTGCAGTTGCAGCTGTGTGTCAGCATAAGTGTGTTCTTCTATTCTTTGTTTGTCAACTCTGGCTTAGTAGAGTGTCTTGTTGAACCTGTATGGTACCGTCATGATGTACATGTGTAATATATGCATGGCATTTGAGGGCACTGGAAGTGAAAACTCAAAGCATACTCATTTTAACAGATTTAGCTTACTTTCAGTGAGATAAAAAGCAGCATGGAGAGCTCTGCAGTTCTTGTGTTAATGTCCATGCTTATGCGTCTGAGGGTGTTTCCACATTCTTTTCCATTTTAGATTAAGGAATCTCAGTTCTGTCAAAATAAACATTAAAGGAAAAAGCTGCAAATGACCTCAGTGCCTTTAGTGCTCACCATGTAAGAGATGGTAAGGGGGACTAGGATCTCTTTCTGGTCCTCTTTAGCAGTGGTGAGATCTCAGATCACTTGTTGTTCACATAGATTTTTATACTCCAACAGGGTAAAGCTGAATTGTGCATAGTGTTGATTATGTTCACTGTACAGCAGATCTGATTGGCTGAGCCACTTTTGAGCACATGGTTAAATATTCCAGTAGCACAAAGCTGTTATAAACCATTAAATAGTTTATTTATGAAATCATTTTTAACCTTAACTTTTTTTCAACATTGTATTTAATATAATGTATAGAGCGTTTAACTCGCTTAGTTGTTGTAAACTCACCACAGATGGCACTGATCTGATAACCTGTACCTCTGTTGGGCTGATATGACTATAAATTGCTGGATCAGGTACTGGAGGGGAAAAAGAACAAACCTTGTCTGAAATATTACAGAATTGCTTGCAGTGCAACATAATGTAAAGCATTAGTCTGTGTTTTTTATATAAACAGGACTGCGCACCTGAGACATTTATATTACAAAAGCTGTGGTCAGTAAGCATTTATTTGCTCCAAAAAACAGTATTAGATTAAATACATAACATTAATACAACAAGTGTGTCAGTGTGTTCTTTGAACCATTTCCAACCTGTCCTCATGGACGGCCAGTATTATTTATAGCTATCGTTGAACACCTGGTTTGGCTTGATCGGTGTTCTGGCGATGACTGCAGGCATCAGAGTGAGATCTGGATCCAAACTTTGTTCAAGCAAAAAAAAAAAAAACACTTATTGTCTGGAAAAATGCTTTTAAACTGTTTGTTTAGGTGCCTCAGACTTCTTGCACAGTATATGTCTTCCTTTTTTTCTTTTTTTTTCCTATAAATTAGTTGAGATGTGGCATCATAATAGAACCATTTCATATGCATCTAATTTGAAGGAATCTGAAGAAAGGAAAAGCTTTGTGTCCAGAATGATGCACAGAGCTGTAGGTTAAGGATGAAATTCTAAAAAAAATTACATAATTAATATCCATAATGCCTCGTGTTTGAAACATGGTGGTCAAATCTCAGGTAGTGATGACTATAAACAAAAATTACAGTATTATTTACTGTAAGTAATGTCTTGGCTGTTAATGCTAGTGTGTGTATATATTTATATAGGAAAGAGTTGACCTGAATTATGGCCAGTTCACCCCAGATGCGTTTCTGGAGCATTTTTTATTAGTCGTATGTCTGAGACGACAGATACACTTCCATTGTAATTGTTTTTTTTTTTGTTGATGTGCAGAGCCTTTTTTATGGGCCTGTGAGTGAAGAGACCCAGTCAAATTACACACTTCCACTTCTTATAGTATTCCAAACTAGATTTATAGTAATAATTTACTAAAATTTCATGATCTTATTGGCCGAGTAGCCTAGTGATCAAGCAGCTCCTACGATGTCCTACCAGTGTGACTGATAGGCAGGTAATATGATGAGGCTTCTATCGAACAGTGACATGAACGTAAATAAAAACTTTATCACATAAATTGGACTAGCTTTTACGGCAAGTTTTGAAATTGCTATAAAACTATTCAAATTGGAAAAAAGAGCTGATATACCCACCTGAAGTGTTCACACAACAGAGTTCGAGACATTTGGACACACGGACGCTTGCACTTTACATTGGCTAAGCTTATGTGATGCTGACGTGCCATCTGGCGAGAATTCTGTGTCATATGTCATTTGTGTAGGGTTTGTTTATGTTGGCCAAGTATTCCTTCCTGAAAAATAGTAGTGTTTGAGCATTGTACTTTATTATAATATTTCAGTGAAGGGCTTCAGTTAAAAACAGTTAATTTTGAAGCTTAGTAGTTTTTAAAGGGAAAAGGTCTAATCTGTATCAGTATCAGTAGATGAAGCTAAAGGTTTCATTATTACAGTATTAAGTATAGAAAAGAAAACGTGGTATTGTGCCATCTCTGAAAGTCGGTGTGCTTTATTGTCTTGCTTGTGGGCAAAATACGTACATTTGCAAAAACTGTGGTGATGTATGTGTGGTTTGTTTGTGCATTGTGAAAAATGTTGAATGTGGAGGTGAAGCCTCGGGTTACCGAGCTGCCAGGGTTTGTGCATCACTGTAACTGGTCTGTGAATGTGGAAGATGTTCAGTGAGAGGCGGGTTCACAAAGCTGCCGTTGATGTTTGTGCATCACTCTGTCCGTGATGGTCTAATAATAAGGCTCGTGAGTAGCTTTAAACCCGTGAGGAGGGGGAAGGGGGGAGAGGGGCGACGGGCTGAAAGCGGGGTTGCTCAGTGCTCGCTGCCCGGTCGTGTGTGTGGATCCCCCCTTTACGGCGCCCCACCGACCCCCTCCCCTCCCCTCTTCCTCTCTCCCTCCCCCCTCTGTGTGGCTGAGCCGCGCGGAGCGGGGATGGAGCGCGGCTGCAGCGCGCGTGCCTGCCTCTGCCTGCGCGCGGGGTCGCGGCACATGCTCAGTGCTGCGCGGCGGAACGGGAACTCCGCGCGCCGTGCGCGAGCCTGAGGTCACGGCACAGGCTCAGTGCTCAGCCTCCATTTTGAGCTGCCTGCAAAAAAGAAAAAGAGGGGAAAAAAAAAACACACACATACACACACAGGTGGGAGAAGGAGGAGAGCTCCTCTGCTCCAGAAGCCAGAAGCCCCATGTCAGACATGGACGACCTGTTCAGCCCGCGGAGGTAATGTGAGCTTCACCTGTTAACACGGTAACCGGTAACGGAGACGTTAGCTCGTCGGTTTTGCACCGCAGTGTTGTAGTTGTGCGTTTTAGCTCTACCGTGAAGGGCTGAGGCGGGTTCGGTTGTTGTCGCTGTCCGGTTTCTCGGTGTGGTGCTGTCACGTCAAAACGGCTAAGCTAGCATTTGATGTGCTTTGTAACGCTAAGCTAACGCCTCGCAGCAGCCCGTTCACTGTTTGCGCTTATTCATCTGTCTGAATGACGTTTTATTCTTCAGTCAGGGCTGTTCTGTTATCCGACGCCTCGTCAAGTACCGCTACTTTTCCTCCTGATGCTGAGACCGAGGCTGCTAATCCGCCAGCTTCTTCCTCGAATTTTACGTTCCACCTTAAATGCTGCAGCAGTTACATTCTGGCGCCTGAAGCCGCTGGAACGCAACTGACTCACAGCTTAAGGTGGAACGGGGAATTCGAAGGAGACGCCAGCTCCAGCCTGGTCTTCCCCCCAGCCTGTAGTTGTTTTGGAAACTGTAGAAGCCAGAGCTGGTCGCGACTCCATTTTGCAGTGCCTGCGTGTTTACAGTGGAGCTGACATGGCGCAGGAGGCTGTGTCCACAGACATACTTAGGGAGTAAAGCGCCGGGTTTGCTCCTCTTTTGCTTTAGTAAATAAAGTTGGGACGTTCGCCGCGTTTCTCTGTGTTATGACAGTGTAACAGGCATGCGAGGATTGGACGGTATTGATGGAGGGGGCGGGGTCATCCTTGATTGCAGCGCTCGTGCTTGAGTTACATTATGTACAATGCATGGCTTGTTTTCGTCTGTTCATCATGGGCTGAGAACTGGGCTGTGTGAATGAATGTACAAGAAAAACAGAACTCCTGCTCTATTTTCATATGTTTTGGGTTTAATTAAAGAACATGCTGTAGTTTAGGAGGATTAATGTTTGTCTGTAGTGTGTGTGTGAGTAAATAGTGTCATTTTCCTTATTGTTTTAGCTGCCATTGTTTTTATAGGGATGCACCAACATGAGAATTATTAGCATATAAGCATTTATAGACTGTAGAAACCAGGACTACATGGACCTGGATTAACATTATGGTGAAATTACACTCATTTCTAGAGGATTACAAATGCAGTAAAATGCCCAGATTTTTTGCATAGTAGTCCAGCAACGTAAATGTTCTAGTACAGTAAATAAGTCATTAGATGTCTGATCCTGATTTATTTTTGTTATTTTCTGCTGATACTGATTTAATTCTTATCATCCTTAGTGTTTTTGCAGTTGAAATCGCTTATATTTGCTTATGCAGTGACGTGAGCCGTACTTGTGTAAATGTATTAATGCATAGTTGTTTTCTTATCGACTTTCTTATCTGAGAAATACCACTTGGGCAAGTTTTTGCACATGTTGCAGTTTCTGAGACGTTTGTCGAGACAGCACAGTAATGGACTGAATGATAATGACGTTAATTAACATAAGATGAGAGATCAGGGTTTGTCCTGAGTGTAGAGAGCTAGGCATGTTGTACATAATGTCATGATCTTAATACCTGACCTCAGACTAGGCCTGAATTTATAGTTGAACAGTGTATAGTTATGCTAATTTAACGATTAATAGTCTCTTATATTTTCTCTGTAAAATAGAATTGACACGCTGAAATATACAAGTTCTTAAGTGTTGTGGCAATTTGAGGACGATACATTGAAAAGAACATGAAGTAATTCAGACTTATGCATGTACAGTTGTGGTTGTTTGTCAGTAGACTCTGTGTAGCCCATGTTATAGCCCAAGTTTCTTTATAACAGGAAATAAGATGGTTCGGCAGGTTACACATTTGCCACATTGTCAAAACTGGGATAAGGTGACCTAATTTTAAGATTATTCTGCTGAAATACACAAAGTGCATCAATACAGTTTTCTCTGCTGAATGAATCATCAACTCTCAGTTTCCTTGTGTGCCTATTGGAGCATATCTGTTAAAAGTAATAGCCACGTCCCAGTTTTGTAATGTAATATGTCTACTTGCACAAAAAAAATATTTTTTTTTCCCCTTAATAATTGAAAATGGTCCCTTCCAAAGTACTCAGGGCACTTTTGGTGTAGGATTGTAAAGGTATGTTATCACAGCAGCCAACTGTGGTATACGGCTATTCATGGGGCTTGACTGTTTTACTGCTGTGATTATTTTCGTCCTGGCTGTTGAATTAAATGCAATCCTATAGCCTGTTAGCTAGTCTTATTTTTGTGCTAAGGTACTTGGAACAGTCGATTGCTATTTCAACTGAATGTTGTGAATTTATCTTCTACAGCCCAACATGGCTGCCTGTAGATCACTTTGCCCTGCTCCAGTGTTCAGTGCTACTTAACTTAGACTTGCCAACGGTGCCAAAGCAGCAGAACATTCGGGAACTTTGCTGTGTGCTCGCCTGTCTCAAAATCCTTCTTTACGGCTCAAATAAAAGCTTTCACTTTAACCTTACTGTGAAAATCTGGTTTTGAACGAGGAGTCAATCTCTCTTGCCTCGCTTTTTATTTTCATTGGAGCTGTGTCTCATTTTAAGAGCAGGGTGACTCCACAGAATAAGATTTAGACTCTCAAAACTTGGAACAACTAATCCTCTGACTAATCTTGCAGTTGAGAGCAGCGTTTGTGAGCACTGTGGGTTCTGTCTGTGCCGTGCATCTGCCTGCCATATTTGTTTCCGTGTGGAATTTCCTCTGTTGACAGTGCTTATGTTTTTTGTCAGAATTTAGTGACCAGGGCTGCAGGCAGAGGGAGTGTTTATTAAATGTACCCTGAAGGAGGGCTGCGATTTGAGGACCTGAACGGCTACCAGAGGCCCTAACCCCCCACCCCCCCCTTCACCGCTTTCCAGCCAGGTTCAGGCCGACAGCCCGGTGATGGAGCGCGTGCTGCTCTGGACGCAAATCATAGTGACAGTTTCTGGGCCCACTGCGCGCCCGGCTATATGAAAATCGGCGCCGTTGCCGTGGCAACGGAGAGGGAAAGGCTTTTCAAAGGGAACATCTTGTCATTTTCTTTAATCCACTGCAGCTGGAGATCGGAACACTATTATTAAATTGTAGTTGCCATGGTTACTGGGGGGTTTGTATCAGCAGCCATTTCAGGGTTTCTCTCCCCTCATATCATCAGGCCTTTTGGGGGCTGTTGTACTGTACCTCTGCATGAACAATGAGACACATCATCCCTGCTTCTCGCCGCCTTTGTCCCTTTGTTTAGCTCTGCTGGTTTTCGAATATATTGTCCCCACACTGTGCCCATTATATTTAACCATGTTAATGTGCACTTCTGGAACAGCTGTTCATTTAAATATGGCCATCATCTGATGGTCATTTTCCAGTATTTTTCTCTATTCATGAACATCAGGCTTTGCGCTGTAAGTAATAAGGCTTAGTTGGAAGCATCCTACATGTGATTATTCTCTTGTCCTGCTAGCATTATCACTTGCACTGCTGATATTAAGGATGACAGAAAAATGGAAATGTATCTGTTGATTTGTGTCTGCATACCTAAACTGAATTTTAAATGCACTGAGCATTTTGTTTTCATTGTTGCCTGAAAAATTATTTCTTTTTTTCTTTTCTAGGCGGTTAAACAGCACACAAGGGGAGATTCGAGTAGGACCCAGTCACCAGGTATGTTCCTTTGCACTGTTTGAATATTAAACATGCTACCTGAAACTCTGCTTACCCACTGGCGACATGATACATGCAGATAATACTAGCTGTGTACGGGTGCTGGGCTGGAATACTTAACATGAGCATTGCTAACTTAAAGCCTTACTTGACTGACAAGCATGGGCTTAACAAATGTTGCTGGTAATGCCATGTTATACATTACTATCCTCGGCATCCTTGCACTCAGAAATAAAGACTAAAATAAAGCTGTTTTTGCAGGGTTAATGGGGTTTCTTCTGCAGTGAAATGAAATTCATGTACTTTCTGTATGTGAGTAGGCCTGCAATTGAAAAGGGTTTGACAGCCGCACACGCTTGGCGATGTTTAGTGGAAATTAAATGTGGTTGCAGTGGTTTGAAATTGAAAGTGTGAGCAAAAATGGCAGACGATGAAAAAGACTGAATATCACCCGCAATTACTGTCATATCCTCCATAGTGCATTTCCTTCCAAACATACATCAGAGTGTTCTCATGTGGAATGATTACAGCGGCAGGTCCTCCGTTCAGGACAGCTTTAAAAGACTTCAAATGGACTATGTGATATTAAAGTACTAGAGAGAAGGCTGAGGCTGACTAGTGGTCCATGGAATCGGAGCAAGCCATTTAACAGCAGTAATTTAAGACATCCTTTAATCACTAAATGAGATCATGCAAGCAGTAATTGCAGTGTAAATTTTGTATTGAAAAATTATTTGTGTCGCTGTTCTGTTGAGATCACAGTTCCGTATTCAGATATTTTTAGGTCCCAGATATTTTGCCAAACGTCTCATGAAGACATATCTAATAGACAATGCTTTTTAAAAGAACAGGGCTGGATGTAGGAGCCATTTGAAGCTACAGCTTCCTTAGTAACACCATAATAAGCCTTGCAGGATTGCCATTATCACTTACATTCATCAGCATTGCTATTTGCTTACAAATATGACATTTTTGGACATTACAGAATTGTAAACATAAACAAATGTGAACATAAGTATGTGCTTCACAGTGCACAGTAGGAAAGGGTGCTTGTTATGAAATAACAGTGACTGTCTGCTTGCAATGCAGTGTCTTACTGGAAAGTCTACTATGGAATGGATAACAACTATAGCAATGACTGATCATGCCCTTACTGGATGTGCAGGAGTTTTATCTTCTAAAATTGTATTTTTGTCAATATGCGAAAAACAAGGATGCCTAAAAAAAGATCATGCCTGCCTTACATTATAATTACGCACAAATGTTAAATCACATGGGACATTTCAGTCAGTTCCTGTCTCTACAGACAGAGGAGGTTTGATAGGTTTGCTGTACTGTAAATTATTCTAGCTGGGGTTTTGTAAAATTAATCAGCACTGACTGTTTGCTGTTTCCAGTGGTTGTGCAGTTGGTCTGCCACATGCTGTATATGAAACAGATTTAGAAATGTGATATTTAGCAGTAGCTGCTTGCGCTGCTTGTCGTGTGACAGCCACTCTCTTTCTAAACAGGCCAAGCTCCCGGAGCTGCAGCCCTTTCCCTCTCCTGGAGGCCAGCCTGTGACTGAGAATGAAGAGCTGGTCTGGATGCCCGGGGTCAATGACTGTGACCTGCTTATGTACCTGCGGGCAGCCAGGTGAGCTGCTATGGTCCTGCTGTCACCAGAGACTTTGTTATATTAAACAAACCACCTAAAAATACTTTTACTAAACTTAACAACAGCTTTTTTACCTTTCTATACTAACTTGCTGCTGTGTAATCTGATCAACTGAAATGCATTAGTTTTGTGGTATACTTGTCATATGGAGCTGTTAGTGTATCTTTACTGACTCTTTGTATATCTGTGTAGGAGCATGGCAGCATTTGCAGGGATGTGTGATGGAGGGTCAACAGAGGATGGGTGCCTTGCTGCCTCACGTGACGACACTACACTCAATGCATTAAACACTGTAAGTTAACTGTTTCAGTTGCATTCAAAATCGTCTCAGCTTTATTGAATACTTACAAAATTGACTCGGAATTAGTAATTGGTGGTGTAGCATTTAACGAGTATTATCCCAGCATTCTGTGTAATTCACTTATGAAAATAATCAGCGTTCTGAGCAACACAAATAAATATTAAAATGACAAGCTCTCCTGCTGTATAAGCTCCACACATTAGCATTCCTCTTCCTCACTCCTGCAAAGCAGAGATGGATTTATTGCTAATTGCATTTAGCCCATTGGTTGCAATAAAAAATAGCTCAGAGCCCAGGATTTCTAATATAACAGCCCAAACACAACAGAGCATTGGCATTGCTATCACCATAAATTTAACCCAGTGTCAGCATTATTCTACAGTTTTATGAGGTATAAAAACATAACTCTATTAGTATGTCAGTGAAATGGCCAGGGTAGGTATTGCAGCTCAGTCTGAGCACGCTCTCTCAAGTGTTTTATGTAGATGACAAATGCATTCCAGTCTGCTCTGCTCAACAAGTTTCAGTCTCCAGTTCAAATGTTGCTCCTTAAAAAGTGCTGCTTATGCTGAACATTTCAGTGTCCTTATTTTCACTGTAATGTCTGGAAAGAGAAAACAGCACATTTGACTGTGTCAACAGTTATTTCGGCTGTATGTACAACAGCTATATAAAACAGCTGTTTCACTGATTAGGGTATGATGAGGTTTTCCTATGAAACGGTTAAAAAATAATGAACTTATTTGGCATATTACCATATATTGTACTACACATATTTGCTATTATTTTGGTCTGTTTTCAGTTTCTGATAATTTAATATTGATGGCTATGCACTGTGAACATTTTTAACAATCTGTTGAGCTTCTGAAGCACACATTTAACAAAAGTGCCAGAATTACGAAAAAAAAATCATTTTAATTTGCAATGTCAAAGTTTCCTATTACCATGGCAGTGTTAGCTGTGGTGGGGAAAAAATAACACATGCTCACTGTAGCAAATGTAGTTGGTAAAGGCCCCCTGTTTGCTGATTAGCACTTCAGTTCCCACAGTGACATTTGTTTTAGTGTAAAGCTACACTGAGTAATATGGTTTCTGAGCTCTGTTGGTCTATGAACCGTTCTCTGTCAGCAAGTTTAATTTCTCTGTTCCAGAATAAGTTCCAATAATTACTTCTAGGCTACAATCCCTGTCTCATCAGCAGTTTAATGTTGTACTAAATTAGTCATACCACATTTTTTAGCGTGATTCAGATGTTTGTCATAATTTGTCCATGGAAAATCTTTCCAGAAAGCCCAAAGGAAACAATTAAGTCAACCCAGTTAGCCCCACTTAGAAAAAGTGTAAAATGTACATGTGAATATTCAGATGGCTGGTTTTGTAAGGATGAGACCAAAGACATCAAAAGGATGTATTTTCTCTGATTTTTTTCATGTGAAAGAGTTTAAGGACATGAGGCTATGAGAACCGTGTGTCTGAGCAGAAGTCATTACTTATATTGATGCAAACAAAAAATAATAATCTTTATTTATATAACACTTTCCATGCCAGTGGCAGCTCAGAGTGTGTTACAGACAGGTGATAAAGCATAACAGTAATACAAGAAATTATGAGTACTAATTTAAAATCATATAGGAAAGTGACAAATACGTTTTTAGAAGTGTGGACTGAGCTTGACTTCTAATAAAAGGTAGAATTGAGTTCCACAGTTTCGAAGAAGATAACTGAAAGAGGCCTCTCCACATTTTCTGTATTTTACAGTAGGTGTTTGTAGAAGGCCAGTATCTGTAGATCTAAGATCATGTGCTGGAACATAAACAGACAAGACATTCAGTGATGTAAGTCAGAGCTTTAAGGTTATTTAGAGCCTTAAAAACTAGTAGCAGAACTTTAAAATCTATCCTGAAAGACACAGGTAGCCAGTGCAGCTCTTTCAAAACGGGAGTGATATGTGTTACTGACTCTTTTTTGTTTTTGTTAGGATCCGTGCTGCTGTGCTTTGCACGAGTTGTAGAGGAGGTATTGTTGTCTTAGGAAGCCCAGTAACAAGAACATTACTTATTAACTCTGCTTGTAATGAATGCATGAACAAGATTCTCTTTGTCACTCTGAGATAGACAAGGCCGAACTTTAGCAATATTTCTCAAATGCTAAAAAGCTATTTTGACTAGTGACTGCATTTACATTTGGGATAAAGCGGAGCTCAGAGTCTAAGATTACACCCAGGTTTTGTACTTCAGAAATTTGGTTTAGTATATAAAGCTAAATAACCAAGCTTCTCCTAAAGCAGCTTTCTCTGAGTTTTAGTACCAAGGTTCAGTATTTTAGTTTTTTCATGGTTTAGTTATAGAAAATTTTGTAAAACGTTTCCTAATGGCATCACGTAGAGGTAACGTGTACAAAGAGAAAAGCAAGGGTCCTAAAACCGAACCTTGTGAGACTCCACAAGAAATGTTATTTTTTTTGATGAATGATTTCAATTTTTTTTTTTGATGAATGATTTCCCAGTGAAACAAAGAACTGTGTACTAACTAAATATAATTTAAACCATTCTAAAACTGTGCCTGAGAGGCGACCCAGTATTCAGGAATGGGGGATTAGAATCTTGTGATCAACAGTATAAAAAGCTGAACTAAGATCCAATAAGACCAGAATAGAAGGATTTTGTGCATCAGCACTGAGCCTGAGGTCATTAACACAAACCAGTGCTGGCTCAGTACTGTGGTTAGAAGCAAAACCTTTCAACTTCTCAAATAACTTATTTAATATTATATACACATTTAATTGTTTGAAACTTATTCTAAGACTCTGCTTAAAAGGAAGGTTAGAAATTGGTATTAAAATATTTAATAAGGAAAGATCCATGATCCATCTGGAAAAGCACCTGTTGACAGAACAGTTTACAGTAGTTAAAATATCACTTTGAACATAATCAAAAACCGTCCTAAGGAGAGAGATATAAACAGGTTCAGGATCACATGTGGATAAACTTAATTTGTTTATAACAGTTGTAAGCTCCTGATAATTGATAACAGGGAAAGATGTCATGACTGATCATCAGTAAAAGGTGGCTTATCAGGACGGTTATAGGAGCTTGTTTTAGTCGGCTGAGCTATGATCTGTCTTATCAAGTCTATTTTAATTTTATAAAATGACTGCTAGGCACTCATTCAAGGCAAAGCTTACTGAGGGGGAAAAACTCTCACTCATGAACACTTTGACCAGTTCCTGCAAAACTTTTTTATATTTTAACATTATCATTTATGCGCCTGTGAGACCTCTCAATTTTTTTTAATAGGGGGGCTGATAACAGGGAAATGACTCACAACAATCAAGAGTACAGTCAAGTTCATATTTTACGTTTTGTATTTTTGTGCTGGCCATTAAAAAGGTTACTAAGGACAACTCAGCACTGGTATGCACGCCTACACTCTTCTAGCTATTTTAATCTCTAATGAGGTTGGCCACTGGGGGGCATTGCTTATGTTCTAGAGGAACATTTGTAAATTCTAGAAGAAATCACTTTGAACTAGTCAACCTGAGCTGTTAAATGTAATGTGGTGTGAAGGTTTTATGTAAGCCTGCAGATAGATATAGCTCATGGTCCAAACACTTTGACTGGGTGTTTGTGTTCAGGTTGTTCTGAAATTAAACCATAAAAAAATACCTTCTGACTGAGGAAACAGATTTGCCTATACACACATGCTCTGGAAACACCTGGTGTCAACTGATTAACGTGGGCACTCTTATGAAGCAAAAACATGTTGCTAAAGTAGCAATGTATTTAGACCAGAGCTGCTGTTCTGCTCTGTACCTCTGTCAACTTGTAGCCTTTGAGCCTGGATATCACAGCTCTTCATTGTATTTTTGTGGATATTCATATTGTAGTAAGTATTAAAATTGGCACATAATACAGTTCTAGTTGTAACACATTACAGTAAACTGTCTGTGCACACTAGTATGAAATGGGAAAAGCCTGGCAACAAGCATTAGTAGATAGAAATGGTGTTGACATAAGTTACTGAAGTAGTTTACCATATTTTGGCATATAAACATGACTGTATAGATAAAATAAATGAATCCAAATATTATGTAGCTTAATTACAACTCAGCCAATTCAAACTGTCCACTCTTGTCCAAAATAAAAATCAGACTTAAAAGTTTTAAACTTCCCGGTTTTAGTTATTCTGTCTGTTGTAGGCCTTATTAGGGTGGCCTGAAATAAACTAGTAAAGGCTGCCTTTTAGACATGGTAACCAGTCATTGCACTTTGACCATGAGATTTTTTTCTTTTTTTTTTTCAGAGCAACATTAAAGATCTTTTTGAATGTCTCTCCCTTTCTTTTTCTTTCTTTCTTTCTTTCTTTCTTTCTATCTATAATTTTTCTTTTTAAATAATTATGCTGACTTTCCATGGCTGAGCTGTGCTGATGGAAAAAGGGCAATTCGCCCTGGCCAATTAGGCATCCACTAGCAGAGAGGCACAGTGAAATGAAATGTCCCTGGTAGGCTTCATGCCTAATTGTAGATAAAGATGAATTGTAGAAAATCCCTCTCCTATTTCTCACATTTGCTCGTCTTCTCCAAAGTCCACCATAAACTGTTGGATGCTTGGAACATGGGTATGCCTTGGGAAAGACTCATGCGCTGAGGGCTATTGAAATAAGCTCACAAATCAACACCGAGGAGCAGCAATTGTGATGAGATGTAAGGTGTCGGAGAGACCGAGAGGGGTATAATTCATGGCTTCATTAAGCTACAGTGGACTGTAACAACCAAGCTTTTGCTGCAAGCTGAATTTATTGGGCTGCCCTGCTTTCCCAGCCAAAGAGCCCATTGGATGAGCTAAAGGAAAGTATGCTAGCAGCAGCCTGCCTTTATAGAACAGCTGAGTATATGCTAATACTACCCTCATGAGCCCCACAGTGCATGGTGGCGATTTCCTCCTAGCTTCCCAAACAAAAGCGAACACAGCGAGAAAGCATGAGCGAGCGAACTTGAAATGCAATAAACCTGGCATTTCCATTTGGACTGAGGAGAGGAGAATGGAGAATTAATGCTGTCGGCAGTTCACCGTTTCTTGACCTTTTCCCCCTCATTCGCAATTCCAATGTGTATTCGCAAAGCACGCTCGGCCTGATACCTGCTTGCCTTTGACAGGCTGCTTTGTTTCAGCTTTGCATGTAATGATCGTTGATATTGACTTTGTATTGCGTGTTTGCCAAAGCAATGATCTGATTCTGCCCTGAAGACAGCCTCTCATGTGAATTTACATGCTGTGGCAGGAAAAGCTAACTTATGAGTTTGTGTTACACTGATGGTAGGTGTAATGGATAATAATTCAAGAATATGTGTGTATAAAACTTTTTATAAATTGAAATTTATTTTGACTATTATTTTCCTAGAATATTTTGGGAATTAAAGATTTCTGTAATGTTTCTGTATTTTTTTGTGTGTAAATACTCCCAGTCTTGGTCATGAATACATGGTGTGGATGGTTTCCTAGTGGCAGTTTATTTCAGGTTGTTTGAGTTGAGTCTCTCTGCTGCCCCACTCTGCTCCTGCGTGGCAGTGGTCTGCTCAATACTTAATGGCTTTCACATTTTCAGTCCAGCTGTCCAAACTCCACAGCTCTGACACGATTATAGGAAGCCAATCATACAGACTTCCCACACTTTTAGCCTACAGTACAAAAGGTTCAGCGAGATAAACTCAACAAAGAAGATAAACGGAGCATATTTTAAAAAGCTTGTGTAGTTTATTGCTTCGAATAAAATGTGTTGACCTAGTCCCAACCCTCCTCTGTTTCCTGCAGCTACACGAGAGCAGCTACGATGCAGGGAAGGCCCTGCAGCGGTTGGTGAAGAAGCCTGTGCCCAAGCTGATTGAGAAGTGCTGGTCCGAGGACGAAGTGGTAAGAGAAGAGTTAACTTTGCTCTTTAAAAAGATAAGAGAGTGGGAGTTGTATTGCCTGCGGTTTGTAGTCCACTGAAAACACTCACTGGGTGAAGTCCTCCAGAGCAGGGCAGCTGCATCCTGTTTATGGCCTGTTGAATAAATCTTCACTGTGAAAGGGGGAGAAAAGAGTGAGGAGAGAGTGTTCAGAGCCTAAACACTGCGCCTGGGCCTGCTGTGTTCGCTCATGTTAGAGTTGAGCATTTGTGTCATCTGTTAAAAATACTCAACTTGTAATATTTGATTTAAAGTTGATTTACATTGTGCTTTAGGACTGCATTGCCTACTGTTGAACCTGAGTATGAACAATTGTGGCAGATTTACCTTAATGGTTGTTATCAGATGGGAGGTAAGCTGTTTTTACAAGGGTGTTAATGGTTTCTTAATTATTTGAGGCTTTATTTTTAAACAGCTTCCAGGCCTGTGTTTTTAAAAGTTCTCTAACATGTGGGGTTGAGTCCACACCCAGTGTTACTGACTCATTCCATTTATAAAGAAAGGCCTAAAATACCCTCACTCTTCCCTCACTCGTTCCTGCTGCTTCTGAAAGCACAAGTCAGCGCATCTCGTAAAAATGCTACTTTCCGTCTACAACCTGGAAAGTACCTAAAATGTCCATTGTCAAAAAGTGGAGAAAGTAGTTGCAAGCTGCCTGAGATCTGGAGCTTATTTATGACAAGTTCAGTATTTCATGCCATAATGAGTCTCAGCTAAAGGCTCAGAGAGTTGGGGAAAATATCTAATTACAGTTTTTCTGAAAAGCATTGTGACTGTGATTTAAATTGTGATTATTTTCTAAGCTCTGGTGGTCACTTGCATAAAATACCTTAAGAGAATTTTGACCTTTGTTTTGCTTTTACCGTAAGTGAGCTGTGGTAAGTAAAAAAAAAATTCATTATTGTAAATTAAGCTTTAGATTCCAAGTGTAAAGGGGAACATTCAGCCATTCAGAGTGGTTTGGTGTGAAAGGCTCTATTCTAGTGAAACTTGTCGAGTCAGAGTTGTCCACAGTGGTGGTGATAGGAAGCAGATGTTTGAATTTAATGCCTCTAAGAGCTACATTATATGGTGCCTGATGTCTGAGACATTGTTTTATGATAGTTTTGTGGTAAAGTTTTGGCTTAAAATGCATTTGAATCTATTTATTCTAATCCATTTATGGCAGAGAGATACATGCAGGGCGTTGTAAGGCAAAATAGTCCCCAAAGACAACTTCGTTTTTAAGATTTATGACTATTTCACCGTTATCAACATTACATGTAAAAACTCAGAAGACACAGATAGGTTCACAGGTGGTGTGGTTAGTAAATAAAATGGCTATATTTGTGTTGTAGACGTTGTGACCCGTGGTTCCTATCAGCACCACTGTAAAGAAATCAGTCAGCAAGTTTCTCTACAGTGAAGCATTTCACATCAAACCACTCTGAATGACTCTGTTTACATCTCAACCTCTGAAATGGTGGAATTCCCCTTTAAGTCTCAGCACTTCTATGTAAATTTACAGCTTTATGTTTATTCCATAAGCTTTTTACTTAAGACAGATACATATGATGTTTTATGTTAGTGGCCACAAACCTGATTGCCAGACTATTTGTTTTTCAGGCTTTTTGAATGTGAATGTAGTTTGCCAAATGGCCAGTTAGTTGTGGTTGTGTTGTCATGTGGATGTTACTTGGATGTTTGGTCTCTTCTGATTGGTCTACTTTGGTCTACATCTGCATGCAGTTTTGAGTTACTAGGTAAAATTATCCCCATTAAAAATGTTGACTCTTGCGAGTTGAAAATGGCACTCTTTCAGATTACGATGTCGATATAAAATGATTAATCTGGCAGCTCTAGCTGAAGGAGAACTTTTAAGCTTGGTGATTAACCATGATGGAGTCATTTGAATAAAGTCAAGGCCAGAGGCAGAACTGCTGTTAATTGAAACGGATTAAATCTTGCGTCGTTTCCCAAACTCATTATTTATGGGGTATACTTACGCATGCTAGCTAAGGGCAGACTCCAGTGCTGCCTGTGTATGCAAGCAGGTATCACCAGAAGAGCTTGCGATAAGTCTCTTTAGAAAAGTGCTATCTTAGATAATGGCTATCGACTTTGTCAATACTCTCAATAATTCTTCTATCCTCTCCAGAGGCAATGTGGAAAAATGTGTGTAATATTAATGATGCCAGCAAGCCCATTAAAAAGGATCAATTACTTTGCGTTGTTATTTATTGATTGAGAACTGGGTGTTGTGAGAGTGTGGTAAACAGTATTTTGAATGTATATAGTGTGGAGTTCGTGTGAAGTGAAGTGTGTAACAGTCTGTCTCAGATGAATAATAGAGGGGCCGGATAAATAGTGTATGAGAGGCGGCCTCGATTACATCTCTGTTGGTCCTTTTTTTTTTTTCATGCATGCGTATGTGCGTTCATACTGCTGGAGGGAGTTGGAGGCTGGAGCCATGTTCCCCCCTACCCGGTCTGTCTGTGAGGCAGCCAGGCCACTGCCGCAAAGCCAAGGACACCACTCCCACTGATCTGATTTCAAGTTGTGCCTTTGCAGCTTCGCAGCCTGGAGGGACAGGTGTAAATGTACCCCTGACCTTGGCGCTCATACCAGCTCTGCCTGCTGCTCCTCATTTATTTATCATCATCCCCTGCTTTCTCTTCTCTCTCTAGCTCTCTCTCATGCTTGCTCCCTGTCTCGCTTGCTCTCTCTCTCTCTGCTGGTTCAGCCCTCAGGAACAGGGCCTCATTATTCCTGCTCTTTTTCCACCGGTCCTTTTTGAAATGTGAATAAAAGTGACAGTGACTGCCTCTGAAATGACAGAATCATCCCCTCTTCAGGGTCACTTGTCACCCCTCTCTCCCTTCACCGCTCCACCCCCCTCAGTGCCTCTCTCCTGCTCCACTGCCTGCAGCTGTTAACATGGGGGGAGAGCGAGCTGTGGCCATTTCTTTAAGCTCTATATCTTTTCTGTGCAACCACTGAGCTGATTTGTATTCTGCTGCAAGTAGAGTATAGCATAATGCGTAATGATATCTATTAAAGGACCCATATCGCAGAAAACAAGTTGTCCTTACTTTTTTAAAATATAGATTTGATGTAGTTTGTAAACATTGTTAAAGCTTCCAAATGTGCCATTCACACCAACAAAAATAGCCTGTTTCGAATTCACTGGTTTTGTGATGTCACTCAAACAAATGCATCTACATATATTATTGGTGGGATAAAGAATTCAGTCTTAGATGCCAGAATTTAGACGTATCGAGATGCATCAAGAATTGCACCTCGGCACCCTGAATCCAAACTGTATCGAATTGAGGAGCCAAGAGATTCCTTGCCTTAACTTATAACAAAAAAATATTAGTTTTCTTCACCAGTCTCTTTACCTCCTTCTTCCATCACTTCAGTCCTCTAATGTCTGCACATGTCCTAGAGATGTTTAGCTTTGTTTGAGCCATTATTTACTCAAGCAAACACAGCGGAATTTTTTAGAGGAAGTGTTGGAGCTGGCATGGCGGAGCAGCAGGTCCGCCTTTTTTGTGCTTGGTCTGATATATAAGCAGGGCGAGGGCTGCTATCTGCTCCACAGCCCTGCTTTGTATTATCACAGGGCTTGTCACGCAGTGATGAATGATGGCGTGAAGCCTCAGATAGCGTAAGTGCCCTGCAAGGCGGCAGGCAGCCAGTGCAGCACCGGCAGCATTGCAGCCCCCCAGTGGCCAGAGCAAGGGCCTACACATCCTGCCCACCCAAACTCCACCCCCCAGTGTCAGAAAAATAATGTTTTATGAAAGTAGCGCAAGTAAGTGAGGGGGCCATAGAGCAGAGAGAGTTGGTGTGTTTAAATATATGCTAGCACAAAAGTAGGCTCAGAACGCTTTCCTCTGAACTGTGAAAGTGCCCACCCACTCAGCCTGAAGTTAATTTACTGTTTTATTAACATACATTTTCTCCCTCTCCCTTGGCTACCTTAAAGCAGGGCTTTGTGTACAGTGTGTAATCACCAGTCTCGATAGTCAGATTTAAAGGGTTTTTAATAGCAATCTGAGTGTAGCAGGCAGGAAAGGGCGTGCTACGGAGTTTCCTGTCACCTTTGCTTTTACGGAGCGCACAGAGGAAGCTGGTTTTGCTGAGTTGTTGCATATTTATAGCCTGAGCGCAAGTGTGTGCAGTATAGCTGAGCCTCCTTGTCAGTTTGAGTTAGAAGCATTCCCCTGCATATTCTCTCATTAATCTGAATATTTGAGTAGGCCCGGTGATTGCTTGTTTTTTCTGTTGTGGTTTTCTTATTATATAAGGTTCAAGTAGACAGGATGTGGGCTGTCTTACATTTGCTTCTGCGGTTGTTTTGTGTGTGAGAGTGTCATCGTTGCCTGTCACTGCTTTCGCGTCAGTTCATGTTTGTGTGATACTGTCAACTACTAAATTTATACTCCGGTCTTTCCTCCGCAGTGTAGTAGGTCAGCCTTAGCAAAAGGTCAAGTAGACTGATTTCACAAGCCTGCTGTGAATTTATGCCTGTGTTAGATGGAACTGAGTGTAGCGGCGCGCCTGATACTTACACAGCCGTTTCTTTGAAAGCTCCAGCTGTCGTGTGTTTGAAGTGCGCTGTTATGCATGACATCATCTTTTTGTAAACAATTGTATGATCTTAACCAGTTTTTCAGCCTCCAAAAATTATTGTTTAAGTAGGAAGTATGCTCGAATCACAATGGCCTCTTCAGTTCTTTCCATGGTCTCCTCTTCTTTTTTCTTTTTTCCTTTTTTTTTTCTTTTTTTTCTTTTTTTTCTTTTTTTTTTTTTACAATAGTGTACTGTTGAGTTGGGAGAGAAAGGGAAGGGAGTGTGAAGCAGAAAGCAGGGAAAAGAGCCAGCTCTCTGGAACAATTTCTGACAGAAAGAAGCCTGTTGTTTCAGCAGAGTGCGCGCCTGGCGATTTGGTAACCCTCTCCCCCTCTCCCCCTCCTCCCTTCCTCCCTCTAGCGCTCCCCCCTCTCAACCCCGCCTCCCCTCTGCCCGGTCGCCTAGCAACCCAGGACTGGAGCAATCGTGGCAGGGCCAGAGCGATTCAGAGAGCAGATTGGTGGATGATTTATTAGCTGGGCTCAGAGAGCAGCGAGCCCAGGCAGCTGAAATGGAGCCTTAAAGTGGAGCCGACATGCAGAGCGCAGAGCACGAGAGAGAGAGAGAGAGTGATAGAGCAAGTAGAGCACGTAGCCTCCCGCCTGTAGCGCAGACAGGCAAGCAGTGTAAATATTACAGTAGGGGAAACATAATTAGGGTGACACAGTCAGGGCAGCAACACACGCAGCTCTGGCAGGTGTAATTGATTTTTGGCCCACCGGTCGGGATCCTAGACCCTAGATAATGATGGCAGGCTCAGATCCCCCTCCCCGGTGCCGACGTGTGTTAATGTGTTAAACAACATTCTGAGGGACGGACCTGTGACCCTCCGCCGCTGCTTTAGGGCCTAATTACCAGACGGGAACATCAGATCCACAAACCTAGATAAGCAGTTTGTCCTGCTCTGAATGGTCAGGGCACAGGAGCAAGGTACCAGGGGGACCACCATAGTGACACACATACAGGACCGCCCCAGCAGTTTATTACTGCTGATTCGTCTTTATATCCGATACCTGTTTTGACTGCTTTGTAATTACAGGAACTACTATCCTATATGACATAGCAAAAAAGCTAAAAAAATGTTCGTGTAATTTATCAACACGTTACTCTTAGTTCTCATGCCTTTTATACAAACAAGGTGCTACATTTCAGATTTCAGAATATAAAATAAATCAAAATCACTGGTCGTGTTCACTGCTCCACCTACTGGTTAATCCGCCACACCTCCTGCCACATGAAAGTACATGAAATGTTAAGTTTCAGTAAGTCCTCTTTTTTGTAGTGGAGTCAGAGCTTGGTGATCTGTTTCTTCTCTTATAAAAGCCCAAGCAAGGAAAAAGCAGATTTGATAGAGCTTGTATTTTTAATTTGCTGGATTAGAGTTTTCATTATCTTGAAGAGATGCAATTTACTGTAAGTTTTAAGAGCACTTTCAAGAGAAAATCTTGTAAAGAGTGCCATTTGGAACAAAAAATGCCCCCTCCACTCTCTGCCACAGATTGTTCTTTTAAAAGCCATGTGTAAACACTTCCCTGGTTACATAACCAGCACAGACTGTACGCACTGAAGGGAAGAGAAACTCCATGTCTGGTTTTACTAGTAGCTTGTCTCCTTTTACCCATGGCCAAGACCTTTCTCCTCACACAGCTCTCAGCCTTTTTCCTCTCTCGGGCTGTCTGGTATGGAAGCTTGTGCCTTAAATGCTCTGAATACATTTAATGAAACTATGCGGTCACCTTCTGTAGAGGCTCCTCCAGAAGAGTTGGTGTACTAATGAGAAGGGCAGACTTGGAGGTGTTATATGTAACTGTGTGGTTAACACACACAGAGACACACACACAGAGGCAGCCCTAGCGGGCTGAATGCGTTCAGAGCATGCTTGAGTGACAGAGGTGCCACGAGCCACCATGCAGCGCAGAACTCCACTCCAGGTTTTCCACACTGCTGCGGACCAGAGGCTCTCTAGCAGAAAGATCACATGTAAAGCCTTCCCCTTTGTAGTGGAGGAGCAGAGAGTGACAAGCTATTTCTTGCTTGTAAAAAAGCGTCGCACCTTTGGAGACTTTGTGGATTTGCACCTCAAATTTTCCTCTACCTGCGAGTGGACCTAGTGTTTTGGACCGTGTTCGGAGTGGACTTCCCTGGGTTTTTGGTGGAGTTACTTGGTGGCAGCCGTTGGCTGAGATTACTGTGGAGCGGAGCTCGCCTCTGGAACAAGAAAGTAAATCTGCTGGTTGTCTGGTTCGTTGGTTATGAATGTTTTCTGCCTCCGCTTTTTATGGCTCATAGTCTGGGGCTCTTAAAGGAGTAGAAATGCATTTAAACCGCTGTGAATACTGTTTTGTTTTTCTCAAGTCTTTGTATATACAGTAACTGCAGTTCATTAGCTAGCTGTTTTAGTTCCACCAGTTAGTTATTTTCCATGAAGTCGACGTTTCATAAGCATGCTTGTTTGTGTGGTATTTTAAGATTTATGTGCTTGCCTGTATAAATGTACGCATGATGCTCTAGTTGGGTTCCCTGGTAGTTACTTTATGTAAGCGAACGTTTTGTAATTCTTGCACTTTTCACAGGAATTAAGCTCCTGTTTGAAGTGTAAGCATGAGAAATGCTCGATCAGGAGAGTCATGTTGTGATTCTCCGTAACTTATTGAAGTTCAGTTTCTGCTTTGAACTTCAGCTTCATATGGCTCCACTATGCAGTTTGTGCAGTTGAACTCGATTATAGATGAAACTGCGTTCAGGTTTGCACTTTATTGTGGATTAATCTCAGCTCTGGCTCCTGGTTTTGTGGTGATTTCTTCCTATTTTCTGACAGTAGCGTGGCCATGCTAACATTCAGCACTGAAACCAGAGACAGCAGAGGTATCTAGATGGCTATCAAAACATTTTCTTCCCCTTTTTTTCTGCAGCTTTAAAGCACCCAGGGTTTAAAAGAGCTTCGTGTTCTTGTGGTGAGATTTTGTAACTGATGAAAAATTGTGATTTAAATCTCTTTTTTGTGTGCTTTTTCAAAACAGAAGCGGTTCATAAAAGGGCTGAGGCAATATGGCAAGAACTTCTTCAGGATTCGGAAAGAGCTGCTACCAAACAAGGAAACGGTAAGTCATGTTCTCTCCATTGTAAGTGTTTTTCCTTCTCAGTCCTGGGCATAAAAGAAGCCCCCCCCCCTCCAATTCTTTTTTTTTCTATGCATATCTAGAGAACGAACACTTTGTGAAAGTACATCTTAACAGTGTGCATGCTCAACCTGGGGCAGTGTAAGAGATGATAGACACAAGTAGCTCACAGATGGACATGGTGCATGAATATTAGATTTAACAGTAAGCATATTAGGCTCTTGGATAGCTTCCCGAGGACACTGAGCACACTGTTTTAAACCAAAACAAAACGCAGATTGTTTATGCAGTGCTTTTGAAGGAAGCTCTCTCTATCCCTGTGCCTCGTAACTGACAGCATTAAATATGTAATACTGTACTTTTTTTTTATTAACTTCCTCTTTTTTGTTGTTGTCTCTATGAAGTTACCCTCACAGTTTCAGTGACATAGAGAAGAGTGACATATTAAGGAAATACTTAAAATTATTAAAATAATCCCAAGTTCACAAAAAAGGCTTTCTCATCATACTTCAGATTTTTATGTCAACTTTGTATTTTATGCCTGTCTCATAGACGTTTAGTATATTATTAGTGCACCACCATAATATGGCATTAAAATATTTTTATATTTTGCATGTTGCTAACAGCTGTCTGTAGTCATTGTTCCCTCACACTTATTTCCAGAAGAAGTCATATAGCGTTTGCTGATCTTTCCAACTCGCACTGTATTTTTTTCTTGCCGAAGTTGCACTGTTTAATGTTTTATCACCCACACCCCAGAAAAATATGGCACAAATGTAGAGAGCACAACACAATGCACAAAGCCTTTAATTTACCAGAGATTACAGTAGATCTAGACATAGCATTATTTAACCTGAGGAATGTGAGTGCAGTGTTTTGACTGACAGCATAATCAGCATTAACCCCACTGATCTATATCATAGCATACTGTTTTTTGCATGTTATTCTAACTGACGCACTAAGACAGACACACAATCCTATAATCTCAAGTTTGATATACTGCTTTGGTAAATTTAAGCTGTTGTGGTACAAGCAAAGATTTAATTTGAATTTCTTTTTAATTGTTGTGAATATAGTCAGTTCTTTGTTACAGTCATTCATTAAGATCACAGAAATAGTACATGTACAGTCTTGTAATCTGCTTTTTAGGTCACTTTCAGTAGCCACTGACATCATGTAGAGTTCAAAAGAAAAATACAGTTTTTATTAGCCCTGTGGCATAGTTTGAGAGAAATCCATATTGGCTGTGACTTAAACAGTGTTTGTCATTTAAAGGTCAGCTGTTAGCATTGTCGGTCTTAGTATCTTGTTGGATCTATTGTAACTCAAGCGACGACTAAAAGCTCACTTACAAAATGCCCCGTAGTCTATTGATTGAGCAGGAAGATTAGTCATTAAAGAAAATCCTGGGAAAAAAGGAGGCAGTGCTGAGGCTTGTCTCCTACATCATATTGTTACCTTGTTTAGTCTCCTGGTTGACATACAATTCCTCTGTGAAATAATAATACAAAAAAAGTTCTTATGTTAATCATCAGTGAACAGCTGTCTGACCTCTTGCATGAACTCGCTGGGTCAAATTCAGCGCAAATAAAGATTAACCAAGTGAATGTTTACACAACCAAATATGTGTTTGACTAGAGTAGCAGTTCACCTTCATGATCAGATTCATTACTCATTACTCCTGTGTTTACTCACTGTATGTGGCAGAAAGAAAGAGATTGTCCAATGAATAAAGACTCTGATAATCCTACATTTAGTTTTTATCAGAAAGTCATTAAGCAAATATGTGGCGTTGACATTAGTATTGTAAATGGCCAAAGTGTGTCTAAACGACATATTGTTAGTGCACTGACAAGGTGTACAAAAACAAAAATAATACCTATTAATAATGTCTGTCTAATCTATTTATTACAATACATTTAAAAAAAAATCATACTGCAGTTACCTCTTGTCATTGTTAATGTTGTTGTTGTTCAACTTGTTTCCCCCACAACTGAATAACTGAAAATGAATGAACTAGTCTGTAATAATATGTAGAAGAGAATAAGATGAGCGTAAGAATAATGGAGTGTGAGAGAGAGATGGTGTCACAGGAGTCTTATTGAAGTAGAGGGTCGCGAGGTTAGTTCAATACAGACACTAAGGAAAAAGGCTGTGTTCTCTTGAAGCTAAAAAGCCCTTCTTTGCTTAAGCTCGAACTTGCTTTGGTGCCGAAAGCCAGTCCTCTGTGTGAGTGCCAGTCAATACCCTGAGGAAAGCTCGATTTATTTTCTCAATAGTCTTTCTCTGTCTTCTTCACTTGCTTTTCTCTACTCTCCCTACTCTTGCCCATCTTTCCCAGCTGTTTCTATGCAGTGCCTTTGGTGAAACAGCTCGTCTCTGTCGGTCCCGGTTTCCTGGGCCACAGTCTCGTATGACTGTTGTGTTAACTTACTGAGGAGCTTGTTAAAGTCTTGGGCCTACAGCCAGGGCTATAGAGGGCGATGCGGTGCAGTTTGTCTGTGTCTGCCTCTCCCCTCAGCTCTTATTAGCTGAGTTTCTCATAAACAACCAGTGCCAAGGGTAAGCACCCACCGCTGTGCAAACACACCAGGCCTGACTAGCTCTCAGGAATGCTTTATATGAAGGCAAATAAAAGGGGAAGCTGGGGAAGTGGGTGTGTCGCCTGACCGTCTCTGCTCTTTTCACTGCCACCATTTCCTCCACTTGAAAGACAACGTCATGGAATAATTTGTGTACTGGCACTAGAAATGTTCCTAAACATCCCTAGCATGCTTAGTCTACAGATAGCAGATAATTTCTTTTGCCTTTTTTTCCTGTCCCTTGAGGTCTTGCAGGGAATAGACGCGCTCTCAGCCACTGCATTACTCAACTTTCACTCAGCTTGTATTGATTTAGCTCTGGACGATATTACCACACATCGGCTTTTGATTAGGGAATGACACCACAGTGTGTCTTATCACATTTGTTGAATTACTCTTTTAAAGTTGCTTATTAATAATAAGGCCAACTTTGAGTTTGAAGTTAATGCTGAATCACTAGCCTGTATTCCCTGCTGCATCAGACATTGAAGGTGGGTACATTGCTCCTGGTGAAAATCTATAGTAGACACATTTTTACGTTTTGGTGCTTTTTGCCTGAAGCTGTCTACTCAAACCTCCTCAAGCCATAGCCCCGCTTTTGATTGTGCTTAGATACCCGCTGTTAAGGAGAAAGAGTGCGGCATAATTGGTTCAGTCAAATCCGAGGTTGTTAAGGTACACCTGCAGGAAGAAAGAGAGAGAAAGGCTGAGATAGGAGTCAAAAGCAGGGTTTTTTGTTTGTTTTTTTGGGTCCTGGTCAGAAAACCAGACATGGCATAGAGCAGATCCAGCTATGTGTCAGTGTTGGATGCTGGTGTTTCAGGGAGCATCCAGCCGCATGAGCAGGCAGCTCTTGCCCTCAAGCTCTGTAATTTTCAAGATGGGCAAGATGATAGAAGTGTTTTTTGCTCAACCTTGTAGCAGATGTTTGCCCTGGTGCGATCTGTACACATGTCAGATTGAATTCATTGTTGCGTCGTCACCCCTGCAGCCAGGGCCCTGGAGAAGCGCGTGATTATGGGTACTAGGGGTTGGGCACTAATTAAAATGGCTAAAACTGGAGGCCTGCTCAGTTAGCAGCAGCTGTATGGTACTTGACAGAATAGCTTGCTTGTTTTGGTAGTTCATGTCGTTGTTTATGGAAACATTGAAAATGTGATTAGTCTGAGGATCTTTGGCCATTTTTATGGTTTTGAATTTTATTCGATGGGATGAAAACCCGTCCTTTCCTGTGAGGATTTTAAAGAACAAATACATGACATACAGTACTGAGGGTCCTATTACAGTTCTTCTTTTGTATCTTCCGTGTATATCTCTTGTTTTTTTAATGTGGTTTTGTGAACATAGCTGTGGTTGTTCAAGTTGATCTTTGGGATTAGAGTGATCAACCCCCACCGAAAAGTCGTGCTGTAGCCGTGTATTTGCCTCTATTGGCAAAACCGCTTACAGCAGGGAAACACAACTGCTGATTCTTGTGCTTGTGCATCTTTGACCTGTGAAAGCAGAGCTTATTCATTCTTTTCCAACAGAAACCGGCGGCACAGCAGGGATTCGCTGTCTATTTAACATCCTTTCACTCCCTGCTCCACCGGCCAAGGCCACTGTAGCGCTCATTTTTCTCTCGCCTTTGCTTGGTTTAACCACAAAGGTGGGTGTCCATATTTCAATGGAACCAGTTTTCACAGTGTAGTACCGAGTTTTGCTTTGTCGACCTTGGGGCAAGGTTAGAGTAATACATGCCCTGCCTGCAGATGTCTGCTCTCATTGTAAATTTTCATAGCTTTTTATAAACTGCTTAACACATCGATTCTATTTGCATCAATTCTCACCAGTATTTTTTTCCTTCTCCTGACTCTAAACGATTAAGACAAAAGCTTAGGCTTTTTAAATAAAGAGAGAGGATGAAATATGAAAGTAAGTTCAAATAAAGGGAGCAGCTGATGGGTTAATTTGCTCTCAAACTGCTCAATTTGAATAACAGTTTAAATTTACAGTATATACAGTAAGATGTTCCATAGAGGCTGTCTTGCGGCAGATGAAGGTACAGTCTAACTTTGAGCCAGAATCTGTAGTTCAGTATGCCGGTGTATCTGGCAGTGTAAGAGTGCAAGTCGGGATTTCTTTTTGGCTGATTCTGCCATTAAGGCTAGAATTACATTCCGGCCTCTGCCCCCTCCTCCCTCTCCTACCCTTCTTTTCCATGGGCACACTTTGCCCTGCATAGAAGGGACGGGATAGCACAGTTCAGACTCATGGATGTTTACAACTGCAGATCAACTGCTTGCACCCAGTGACCACATGTTCTTTTAGCCTCAAACACATTTGGCTTAACTGAGCGTACACTCCGGAGACATTTTCTCTGTGCAAGGTTGATTGTCCATTGTTATCTTCCATTTTCTC